GTGAGTCATTTAAATGAAACTACATACTTCCGAAGTTTCTGTTACTGTAAAGTATCCGAAACGTCGGGAGTATGTAGTTTTTATCAAAAATAAAGTCGCGTAGTATATCCGCAAAGTATTACTTTAAATATTTGTTTTAATTGCTAAATACGACTCGATGTTTCCCTTCCATACCTTATACATTACTCCGTATATATGTTATAAAGTTTATCTTCATTGAATTATCATTAACTAATCGTGTCATGTAACTGTTGTGTCGGTCAACGGTCAGCTGGAACTATTTTTATATCATCACAGTAACAATGATCTCGTTTTGATCTTCAAATTATTCACACAACTCTTTATACTTAGAAATTTTTCAACTAGAACGCTTAATTGGATCCCGGTTGTGTTTTAATAACATTTATTTTATGTGTAATTTTTAACTAAGATGTAAAAATTATTGAATTATATTAACTATTTTCTCTAAATTAATGTTTAATTAATTTTTTTTACATTTAAAGCAGTCCGACTATTTATTAGTTAGTATACAAAGAGTCGGTTATAATATCACGTCTTTCATCTAACCCTTTATTTAAATTGCCATAAGATTTAACAACACATAAGAAAAAACACTTTTTCGACCTTATGCACATGTATTTTAAGTTTAAATTCCTACGTTACATTATAAAATATCAAATAGCTTTATTACTTGTTTGAATCAATTCAGCAAACAGTGTTTGTTTTTTCATGTCATATGAGTAATGGTCGTCGACCCGTTTTAAATTATATTTTGGCAGTCGGTACTAGTGTAATTGATGGTTAGCATTATAAGGCTATTGATTTTCATTTAACTCTCGTACAATGTGATATTCAATTATAATATCAAATTGATCTTTTGTAAACGGGTCAATATTACTGTTAGTATATTTGTTTTGTTTTAATAGTTTTGTATAAAAAATTTGATAGACACTAGTATGTTATGTTTGTCAATCCGTCTGTAAAAATTAATCCGACAGCGGATATGTCACTTTCGTTTTTTCCTAATACCCTCTACTTATAACCACTGTTCAAGATAATGCACTAATTGTATTTGTTCTACGTTTCGCTTTATTTTTAATATATATTTTTCGTTATTAACTATGTTTGTTTATTTCATGTTAAACTCAAATATTACCATTATTACGTACAGTTGGTATTAACGTGCAAACACACTGCCACTGTTTGTCATAACATGTCGTAAAAGACACTCAAATACACTTATTATTACTCCATTATTAGAGATCCTAGAAATAAAATAAGTTGAGAATTTGACGGTAATATTTATACATATGTATTAATAACGATGGGATTTATTCCTAGAATTTTATTTTGCTATAAAAGCGAGTATAAAATTTGTAAAGATATAGGTTCGTGTTACTTTTTATTTGAACAATACAATTATGGATAATTACTTGATTTATTCATTCCTAAAATTGTAAGATTAAGAGTTCTATAATACCGTCCTATGTAAATCGTTACATTTTTTTATATTATCTTAATTCGCCTTAATATTTGAGAATGATGATATATTACCGCTTCTTATGAGTATTATGTAAATTTCTATTGAAATGTAAAAAGATCTGGTCGTCAGGCGGTACTTGGAAAGTCCAAAAAATTATAAATATATAACATTAATTACTTTATTACAGACTAGTGTTTGTCACTCTCGATATAAAATTACATTCTGTGTTCAGAAAATTAGAGAATTATCTTTTATTTCATATTAAACATGAAATTTTGGTCACAAATCTAGCTTAATCTAAACGAATGTACAGTCGTCATATGTAATTTCCCCCACAGACCTACAATGGAACCAGTTTAAGACCAAGTTGCACAGATTTTAAGACCCCGTTCCGTTTGGGCAGTGAACCAAGGTCATGTGGCCTTCACTCGAAATATATAATGATGTCGTGGGAACAACCATACAATGACCAGGGAGCTAGTTAGTTGTAAGAACTCAGAAGTCGGTAGCCTGTACTAAAATTTTAAACATCGCGGCTGTAAAATTGATCTTTTTGCTCAAATCAAGCCAGTCAAGGTCACTCATAATATCAGATATTTGAAACAAACAAAAAATTTATATCCACCTCAGGTTTCATAGCTGATTCGCCCGTTAAAGAGTTTCATAATAAAATAGGTGTTACTTTAAATTTACAGACCTATACATATATGTACATATATGTTGTTTTTAGTACTGTATTTTATAAGCATATTTTTAAAAACTATCGCACTCGTATATCAAATAGCAATAAAATTTTGTTTATGTAACATGCCGTCGATGTCTCCACCTTGACAAAGGTCGCACAACATTTTTTGGTCGTTTTTTAAATCTCTCGGTCGATCCTAATCATTAACATGTTATAAGATCGTCTCAATTGAAAAAAATGAAAAAAAATGAAAATGAAAAAATGTTTATTAACAAAAAACACAACATAATACAAAGATATATCCTGTGGTACCCACACTAGGTATTCCTGTGTCGTGGGTACCAATTGAAAGATTTACAAACATGTTTAATGTTGTCGCTCGATACATTGCATAGTTTAAGTTAAAAGTTACAAGATAGAAATTATGATAGTGAAAAGGTGCTATACTAGGTGCAAGAATAGTTCTTCGGTGGTATTGTAGGTTGACGAGGAGAGCCAAGAAATAATTTTTGTTTTGGCTTGTTTTAGAGAGCAATGTTTAATGTCACAAGCGTTAGCTACTTTATTATAAATAAAAGACTCTATGAAGGGACTGAAGCGTCTGGCAAAAGAAGACTTAATAGAAATAAATATTATAATAATTATATGATGACTTATAAAATGTATCAGCTGATTATCTTTTGACGTCACTATTGGAATTTGTTCCTTGATAAACACTAATTCACCGATATTAAAAAATATTATAATAAATACACGAAATGATCCTCTTCTTAATCTGTATTTGTTCTACTAGAATATAAAAATATTCTTAGTTCAGTTTAGTCATACATGAATTGGCTGTAATTCCTTTCTTATATATTAGGTTCTTCAACGTTAATTTAGTTTAGATAAAATTCTTATTTACTTGCAATTAACCAAGAAGTTTTCTTTATTCGTGCGTTTTAAGAAGTTAAGAACTATCTCGTCTGCCCGTGAACACGGTTGCTGTAAAGTAACCGAAACGTCGGGAGTATGTAGTTTATAATCAAAAAAAAAAAATCGCGTAGTAAATCCGAAAATATTAGTTTCATTTACATGAATATTCGCGAAAATCTTAGATCTCATTAAGTTAAGAACTATTAATATGAAACTATTTATTTTTTTGAAATCAATTTCATCCTTATGATAAAACTTCTTGAGGTCGGAATCTATTATATTTGATATCAGAAATCCATAATTATCATCTAATACAATAAGTACTGATAAGTATCTTTCAAGTTCAATACTAAGATATATAATATAGTATAATCTTTTGCATAATTGAAAACGTTTTGTTTTGGCTTAATGTATTGGAACTATCACTATTAACATATTTCTTTAGCAATATAAAGGTTTTGTATGAATGAATTATTTCATTTTTGTAATTTCAATATATTATTGCTAATAATTCTTATAATTATTGTATCTGTCATTACTCATTAGTTATTTATAGTGATGATACAATTAAATATGAATTATATTGAGATTAAAGTGCAATGAAGCTTGTATAGCTATACTCATACTTTTCTACTAATGATTGTGAATTTATAGAAATAAATATGAAATTTTATGACTTTATTATTCTCTCTTATGTTAATACTATGTTTACTGTTGATTACTAAGAATATATATGTATACTAGCTTTCCGACCGCAGTTTCGCCCGCGTGGAATTCGGTTATATCGCGTTTCCAAGAGAATCTTTCAAGTCTGAGATAAAAACTATCCTATGTTCTTTGTCAAGGTCAACTCTAGCTCTGTACCAAATTTCATTAAAATCACTTCCGTGATTTAGGCGTGAAAGCGTAACAGACAGACAGACATAGAGACATAGTTACTTTCGCATTTATAATATTAGTAGGGATATGTCATATATATCAGTGTTGGCATTCTTGTTAATATAATTTAGGCGTAAAAATCCGTTTCGTCCTTGAACCGACATACGTCGGTCAGGGATCGCGAAATTCCAGGTAGCTTTAGAAGTACGACTGGTTTATTTAAATCTTTGTCTTTGATTATTTTTTTCATATATTCGTTTAAATTCACAAAATTCTTGTATGGCATGTCAGTTTGTGTCTAACATTTGGTGTGTACGGAACTTGAGTACTATCCGAATTCTCATAAACCTTGGTGATATCATATTGACCTCCGTATATGTTGAAAAAAAATTAGTCATTAGTACGGACCTCGAAAAACATATATATTCAATTACAGAGCGTTCTGTTTGCAGGTTTCCATAGTTTCGTTATTTACACAAGTGCATACGAAACCTTATGTGAAAACAAAGACAATCAGATGATTCATAGACAATAGAGGACCGCGGACGAAACGAGAAACGAACAAAAAATAAGTTTAATATAAAGAAAACTATCGAACATTCCGTATAACAGTAACGCTTTACAAATAAAACATTGCCATATTAACATATAACAAGCTTTTGTAATTATAAGAGGACTGGAAAAGGATATAAAACACACGTAATTACGGATGAATGTGAATGAATAATAATAAAAAAAATTGTGTCAAGATCAAAAAGTGTGTGTCAAGGGGTCTCGGCAACTTTCCTTTTGTAGATCAGCGACTGGGTGACATCGGTGTATAAGACACCGGTGGATCGTTTAATATTGACCTCCGATTAAGTACGGGTGGCGCCGTGGGGGGATTTCGAGCGATCCCTTCATAACAACTCGTGAGTTGCAACGCGACGGCCTTACAGGGAAGCCGCTTCCGATATAACCACTGACCGCTGACCCCTCGTTGAATAAAAACGGCAAAGTGAAACAGTGCTCGCATTTGTGGTAGTATGAAGTGTTAAAATGTCGACCCAAGCGTATTACAAGGAACGCCTGGGGTTCGATCCTCAAGAGGCGATGCAGGACGGCGTCAACGGCTCATACTACGATGGACCCTACCAGCCCAAGAGACACCGCGGCGAACACAAGGAGAGCCACGACCAGGTTTACGAGGAGAATCTGACCAAATTTAAAGGTACAACATGTTGGGGATTCTTTATACAGCAGTCAGGTTCGTGGTGGAGGTAAAAAATATTGAGAATGCGTGTGTTTTGGTCTAAACAATCATGTTTTCGCATTGACACAAACACTCACTTCAGCGAACTAACAATATGTCGTGATTACTACTTGGAGTAGTTTTTTGAAATGTTAACTGAATAACAAGATGTTTTTAAAACCGGTCGCTCGTTTAAAACCGTTTACAAGGCTGCTCGTGTTTTTTAGCATATTTAATTATAAAAGTCCTTATATCATAATTTATTACGCATTCGATATAAAATTAACGCTTCCTATTTATGTTTTTAATTAAGTTTAGAAGTATTTGATATTTTTTTTCTCATGAATCACTGTTACACAAAGTACGCGTAAAGGGAGTCGTTATCAACCGATGCATATAAATCTCTGATAAGATAGTGTGTGCTGATAATAAAGTTTTTGTCAAACTATAAAACCGGTGTGTTCCCTCTAATATTACGTTTCAATATATACAGTGTATTTTATTTGGATAAGATTTAATATTTGTACAATAAATATTTTATTAGAGGTCTTCTTAGCGTTTGCCCTTTAAAATGTTTCATAGAAGTTATATATTAATATTATATAAAATAGACATTATTAGTATAAAACCATGATAGCCGTGATTTGATATTTTCTCTAACCTTACAGTTTTCTAAAAGAAGTCATCATTAATCCCAAAAAACGTCTTTCACACTTTAATTACTACATAATATTGTTTGTTTATTCTTGTATACAATGAATAATAATATATATTAATTTCTTATAAATTAATAAAGTTCGGTTATGATATGATATGCTTATGTTACGATATGCGCCTACGGTTCGGTTATTTATATAATAATTAACGTCATTTAACGCCCTCGACCCCAGCCTGTTGATCGGTGACCCAAGCAGCGGTGCGTTAGAACAATCATCCCAATTGATTGTAAAGGAACCATTATATAGAAATAGATATAAATTATACTGTTCTTATACTATTTTAAAGTGTGATTTAATATTAAAATATTAATGCAGTAATTTCTTATAAACTTTATTTTCTTGAACAGTTTTCTATTCATAATTTTTATTTCTTTAAATGAATTTTATCGTAAAATTTTCATTAAATTTGTATTACTATGTTATTAAATAATATTTTAAAATATAATTTATTTCAAAGTTGGTTATAAATTATAATGAATTTAAGTGGATAATATATATTAATTTTATAGTAAGAATCAAGTTTGCATTGTTGTTCATGTATTCAGTAAATATAGGAGATTATCGTCAGCGATAATGCTCAAGTATTCTGTATGCGGCATCCGGCCTTCGTATTTAGGGCTAGGTTGGGTGAAAGTCTAGATAACTAGCTCTAAACTATGCTAGGATTGCTGCTGTGGTATTTGAAGTAGAATAGCAAAACCTTAATAATAATTTAAATACATTATCGAGCTATTACAATTGTGTCTATTGTAATTTGTAAACTGTTCTTTGAATACTTTAATTAGTGTATTAAGTGTATGGATTTTAAATTACATTAATTTATTAAATTAGTTAATTAATTCTTTTTATACATTTTAATGTATGAAGTCCATCTCGTTTAATTTTATGTCATTAACTAATACGTTAGATTTTTTTATTAGTAGCGAGATATAAAAACCTTTTCTTTAAATAGGTAATATAAAGTTAAGAGAGGCTAGATTTTTTTTAGATTCTCTTCGTTAAAAAAAAAGGCTAGACTTTTTTAAATTTATTTATGCCCATAATTCTTCTTCTTCCTGGCAATTTCTCAGCTTTAGCCAGGGTCTGCCCATGCCCATATTAATTATAAGAGACTATTAAAAAATATTATGTACTTATAATAATATTTATTAAGTTAAGTTAAAAACCGTATCTGCTTTCATATTGGCAAGACCTTAATTTTCGGACAATGACATTTTTAAATTTTTGGAGGAAAAAAAACTATAGTCAAAAAAACATATACAGGTATATTTTCATTCATAAATCTTTACAAATGATTATCACAATAGATACATAATATATGAATGAAAAAGTGGAAACGATCTGTGTTTACTTATATTTACTCACGTAGGGTACTTTTCATTTATATATCTATATTACAATCATGTAAAGTTAATTATATAAATGAAGCTTGTCATAAAATGTATGTCTATCAAGGTGTAGTATGATTTAAACGTTTGGCTGGTCGCGTTAATCTCAATAAGTGTGGGTGTTGGGAAGTCTTGGAATAACTAGATCTGTACCAAGATAGGATGACACTAAGATGACATCCTTTAAACTAGATCATTTTTATTTACTAGGTGATATATATATAATAACATGAATCTAATCAATGCCTTGTAGTTAAAAGGCCCGCCTCTCATGCACGTGGGCGCGGGTTCGATCCTGGCCCTTCAAGTACCAATGTGATTTTTCGAAGTCATATGTACTTTCTAACAGTATTTAGACATAACTGATTAATGCATTCCCAAAGAGGGTTCATGTCAGGCAGGCGGCCGGTCGTAAAATCAATTAGCCAAAACTATTCACAACATGTAAGGCAGACTAGCTACATCTGGGAAATCGCCAGGTAGAAGAAGAAGAATGTATATAATAACATGAATTTTAACTTAACAAAAATATAAGCAATACTAATCAATAAAAAAACTACATAAAGCAATCAATGTTTTAAAGTCAATAATTTTCAATTTCTGTAACGTAAAATTGTTCGTTATCGCATCTTCAAATATAAACATACATTTAAAATGTGATCATTGGCTTTCAAATAAAAGTTTTTATATCTTTTTGTAATCAATATCAAAGTAATGTTAATAAACAGTTTTTTATTTAGTGATTTATTGCGAGTGTTTTATCGTGTGAGCTGGTGAGGCGTGATACATTCAATCAACGTTTGTATCGAGCCGTGCAATGCACTCGCTTTGTGCACTTATGATTCATGTACAATCACCGACAAAAGTGCAATTATCTGAAAGTACTACCAAAATGTAGTGCATTCTAATAGTAAATAGTTTAATACTTCATATAGATATAATTAATAATCTTCTATCTTCTATATATATAAAAATGGATTGCTGTTCCTTAGTCTCGCTAAAACTCGAGAACGGCTGAACCGATTGGGCTAATTTTAGTGTTGAAATACCCCTGGAAGTCCAGGGAAGGTTTAAAAGATGAGAAAAATTGGAATAATTGCCGGGAAAACCCTAAAAACAGCCATTTTCTATTTCCCATACAAACCTTTTTTTTTGACATTAGATTTGACAACTAACTAATATGTCAATCATTCTGTTTGATTGAAACAGGAAAAACCTGATTATTTATGGCCTCTTAGACGGAATAGAGTTCGCCTGGTCAGCTATACCTACATATATTACTCTTGACCAAACTAACGCGGACGAAGTCGCGGGCAAAAACTAGTATATATATATATATATATATATATAAAAATGGATTGCTCTTCCTTAGTCTCGCTAAAACTCGAGAACAGCTGAACGGATTTATCTTATCTTAGTCTTGAAATGTTCGTGGAGGTTCAGGGAAAGGTATAAAAGCTGAAAAAAATTGATTCATTATTGGGAAAACCATAAAAACAGCCCTTTTCTATTTCCCATACAAACATTTTTTTTGACATTAGATTTGACAACTAACTAATATGTCAATCATTCTGTCGCACTTCAAAACACGGAGATTAATGGCTTACAGGTAAACTCCAAAAATATAAATAAAAAACGTAATAGATATTTCTTGATTATAGGACGATACGAAGTTCGCCAGGTCTTCTAGTTATTATTAATTATGCTAAAACATAGTAGTAGTTTTAATTACTGAAATATAAGTTTACATATTTATTTAATAATTAAACTAATTTGACTTTGTTCTACTATCTGAATATAATTAAAATCTATTATTTATATTTATTTTAATTTTAATAAGTATATGGTATAGTTGAATTAATTTATTTTATTTATGTAATGTATTTTGTATCCGAGTGTACATTTAAAAGGCGCCGCAATGTACATGAGTGTAATGCAGTCGATGCTCACTGAGACTCCATCAAAGCAGTCCTTTAAAACAGAAGTATCAATCAGAAGCAAATAGTTTCTGAGATAAAGCAGAATCAACATATATATGTATATATTATTATATGCTTTCTCTTAACATAAATTACTTATGTTGTATTCTAGACGTGGGATATTTAATATCTTTGATACTCACGTCAATTATATAAAGAAAATAAATAGATAAATTAATTACTTTTTTCTAATAAAATTAATCTAACAAATCTGTACCTCTTTAACATTTTAGTAACTAACATATTCGTGTTAGGTTTTAAACAAGACTTGATTTTAAAGACAAATTTGTTTTACATACATATATGTAGTTCAGGTATGTTGAATAATTATTTATGATGATTTTATTCTGTTTTTGATTTACTTATTTTAGTAGGCATTTACTTAAAATTCCATCAAAATTCTTTAATTATTTTTAGTTTTATGTTGTACGTATATAACAGATTACTTTTGTATTTATGATAAGTGTAAGCACAAGTTTTAATACTGTATACTGCTGTTGCCTGTGGTTTTGCCCGCATATTTAACCCCGCTTTAGAGACGATTGTTTTCATAAGTTGTAATTTCATTCGATTTTTTGAAGATCCTTTTACCAGATCCTGATTTAGTGGGTTAATGCCCTTTCGTATGAAGATAATTTAAAAAAACTTCATTGAAATTGTAATAGTATGTTAAAAAAAATATTCGATTTGAGAACTCCTTTCTTTTTTAAGTCGGTTAAAAACTTAAAGTGATTACCTACTCCTAATTAAATTTCCATCAAAATCGGTTTTATTGTTCCATAAATTATCCGTACCAGACATACAGACAGCGGGACTTTTAAAAATTAAAAAAAAAAATTTGATTAAGTGTCAAATATATTTCTATATTACAAAGAGAATAACATATATAAGTATATATATTTAAGTATACGTAGTACAGTATATCCGCTTGTCTTCTATAATCGCCAGCGTACATCAAGTGAATGTACAAAGTACTATATTCAAATCATGTCATCACGCAGGATACTAATTACCTCGCTGATTAATATTGCTTCAATGTATCGTCTGTCTACAGCGACCTATTTATAAGTTGTAGTAAATTATAACGTTTATGTATAATTAAATTATACATATACTTTATAATACCAATTATACAAGCACTTAACACTACTCCGTGAGATATTCTTCCGGTATTCAAATTATTTGGCAGCGACCTTAGACGTATATAGAAAAACTATAAATAGTCTAGATCGGTCTGCCATTGATTCGTGGGTTCATTCAACCCGCACATGATCCGCTCCTGTTATCATTACAATGTATGTTTGATCTTCGCGATGTTTATACTGAACTCATTGTTTTCATTCATACGTATCCGTTTGAGTGTAAAACACACTTAATGATTTCTTTTGTCATTATACGAGTGTATATGAGGCTTTATGAAATGTATAGTTTTCTTTAATGTAATATGTATTTATCATTCCAGATGAAAGGGACGCTATCCAGAAGAAGACATTCACTAAATGGGTCAACAAACATCTCAAAAAGGTAACGAAACTTAATATTGGAATGACTTCAAATACAAATAATTTATATTTACTTGTGGTTCATATTTGTGTTAATTTTAATATTCTGGTCAAATCGACGGCCGCAACTCTTTGAGATGTCAATAGATTTGACGCGGGTGACATTGTCAGCTGTCAGATGACATTGTAAGATCCACGTGGCGTCAAGATTGACGTAGAAGGATGAAATGCGTCATTTCTATTAGTTCCTATTAGGAACAATAATGACACATTAATTATTTACATAAATAGACATAGCGTTATTTATTACCGATTAATCGCTCGCCTTAATACGTTCCGATACAATCGATACATTAATTAATTAATTTTATTCATATGGTCGTATAAAAATGATTATAAAAACTGCATACATAAACTTAACATGGATTTATAATAAAGGCGACGGCGCCAAGCATCGAGCGATGTTTGAAATATTCATGACTATTTGTTTATAAGTTGATTTAAACAAAACTTTCCTTGTAAATTATGTTTCACTTTACTTTGTTTATATCCTTTAACTGACTCACTGACCAAATGTGAGCAGATTTTGTGTAATCGAATTATTTATTCAGACAAATAAATTAAACTTTAGAGTACTTTGAATCAAAATGCAAGTTGTTAAAAAAATCATACTTTTAATACTTAATCGTTCAACAATTATACATGAAATTTCTTAGAAGAGCTCTTATACTGTAAAGGTCCTTCAAAAATTTTTTTTCTTTACAACAGTCTGACTATATCAATGAACTGTATGAATTAAAAAAAATATTTCACTATAATAATTTAGTTATTAAATTAAAAACATAACTCCAAACATACGTATATTCAAAGAATTCACAAACACAAGACATACATATGAAACAAGACATCCGTCTCAGCAATTCGCAAATAACTCTGTTTATATAAAACATACACAGTTGATAATTAACATCTGTTTTAATAAATAATAAACTGCTTGTATGAATCATACAGACGTTTCTTTGTGATGAGAAAGTTGCTTGGAGGCTGGAACCCGATAAGATATCTCCATACAAAGGTTGGATTGATCGGGACGAATTAGATGGCAGATTATAACAGAAATTCACATTGAAATAAACTTCCTTATAGTGATACATTATACTCATGACCAAATCTTTTGATCCGCTTTAAAAACACTGAAGAAATCTTTACATTTGTTTCATATTAAAAACAGATTAATTATTTCAAAACAAAAAAAAATATTGCGTAATTTGACATCAATCTCTTGTTGTTATAACAAGCCAGTTAATGTGAAATATACAAGTTTATCTATCTTCTATATATATAAAAATGGATTGCTGTTCCTTAGTCTCGCTAAAACTCGAGAACAGCTGACCGGATTTATCTTATTTTAGTCTTGAAATACTCCTGGAAGTCCAGGGAAGGTGTAAAAGGTGAGAGAAATTAGAATAATTGCCGGGAAAACCCTAAAAACAGCCCTTTTCTATTTCCTATACAAACGTTTTTTTTGACATTAGATTTGACAACTAACTAATATGTCAATCATTCTGTTTGATTGAAACAGGAAAAATCTGATTATATATGGCCTCTAAGACGGAATAGAGTTCGCCTGGTCAGCTATACCTACATATATTACTCTTGACCAAAGTAACGCGGACGAAGTCGCGGGCAAAAACTAGTACTATATATTTATATAAGTGAAATGATCTAGCAATAATAATATTTGCATATCCTGAACAATAGTATTGCATGAGATCAGGTAACAAAGGACGTAGGCAGCTGTGACGCACGGTGGTGGCATCTCGGGATGTTTTGGTTACGACCCGTGTTAGTCACGACGGAGTTATGCGAGGCTTTCGTTGTGAAACTATAGAGAAACAATGGCCTGTAATGTGACTTGATAAAGTATTAATTGGTGGACGGAATATAAGGCGGATTAAATACGATAATGGAATGGGATTTAGTGGTACAGGAACTGAGGATTTTGAATCATCATTATTTCATAGGAGTTGTTTATAAAATGTTAAGTTAATTTGTAGCTGAATGTAATAAGAATGAAACCAGTTTAGCACAACATGGACAGTGCTCTTATAAAGTGCCCTATTGTTGATAACTTCATTCTGCTTTTTCAAATACATAATCTCATTGACACGTTCACATTAAATCACACATTAAAAGTATATAGAAGATAGTATCTTGGCAATACAATATTATATTTATTACTAATAGCCAATACCTTTTTGGAAACACATTGAAATGGAGAATCATTAACGATTGACTTTAATTTGACTGTTTTAATACTAGGTTCATTTACAAATGCTGTTCAGCAAAATTTATAGTAGAAGTAAATAAATAATTTGCATTTCGTAACATCAGTAGCTTAAAACAGTCTTAGATAATTTAAATAGAAAAATTAGTCGTCAGCCAAATGGTACATATATCGGATCACAGTGAGATAAAGTTGTTGAGAGAAATCAATATTACTTTATGCCATTTTAACACTTATGTTGTTTGGATTAAATATCAATTTTATATCAAAATATTTATCCTATGTTTTGTGCACTAATAGCTGTTATTAATCATATGCAATGAGTCACTTAAATTCCTGTACACAGTTATCCTGTTACCCGACCGTTAGATAAACTGATGATAGTGATTCGCTAAATAGATTTCAAACTTACCCTCATATTCACAAAGTCCAAATTTAATAAAATTCTATAAGTGACTATGTTCAATAAATTTCTTTACGTAAGTATAAGATAAGTAAATCCGAAATTGATAGTTTTTTTAGTGGAATAGGTGTAGTTCAATATGTACTTATATTTTCCTCTCTATCTGTAAGTATGACTTAATGTTTTGTTATACGTAAAACCACAAGTAAATACATTTAATATGTAATATCTATTTTTAACACGACCGGTAATATAAGATAAATGTTATAATTGTTTGTTTTATCGCTTTCAATGTGGATCGGGAGCAGCATTGGAAATATCTGAAGGTTTGTTATTATATGTTAAGTATGAAAATGTTTTCTATATATATACATATATATAATCGACTATATCTATAGTGTAGATCACCCATAATATTAAAGATTGTTTTTAATTTTTTAACATTTAGATGTAAAATGTTTGTTTGCGTGGGTCGGACTCTGATCTCATTATTGCGGTAATGATGATTTATTAGTATGTCATGGAGTCCTTGAAATTTAACTATGACTTTGCACGTTAATTACAATGATATATTTTGATTTACACCTCTATAGTCCAATGTCATATATTAGAGGTATCTTTATGTAGTTGTGTATAATCAGTAGGTGAGGATAGTTTTCAATGAGATTGAATCAAATCGATTCTTACCCAGGTTTTTGCATATTTCACGCTGCTCGGACAGACGTACACACGTCTCCATGTATGTGAGATAGTGAATAACCAACCCTGTTGTCCCCCACAACAAGTAAGTCAATGTTAGCCTCATAATGTAGTTTGTTTTGAGTGTTACACCGCGTCTTAATAAAGTCTTGTCTGCCGGCTTTCGTAAAAAGGATACTACATAATATGTAAGATTATTTTTGGCTGTATTTTCTGAATGATTTTTATTTGCAGGTTATTTTATTTTGCAAGCGACGGCATGTTTGTTACTATGTATATTTAGCATAGTATAATGTAGTATATTTTTGTAGTTGTAGTTCTTTTAACAATTTAACATGTGTCGTGTGAATTAGTTAGGTTTTTTAATCGTAACTGTTCATAAAATTACCAATCTTAGAGCTTTACGTAAGCAAAATGTTCTTTAACAATGCTACATCTTAAATAGGAACATAATAATGTACATGCAATTCTAATATTAACGATGTTCGTTTGAGTGGTAATTAATATTTATCTTTTATGAGTTGTATTGAGTGTGTAATTATCTTTTCTCCTTAAAGATAAGTCTATTGTATCCTCAATGTTCTATAGGAATTCATCATACTTCAGTCATATCCATCATTATAATATAGTTATATATAATAGTATTTAAGTGCTGTTTACATGTTCCCAGGTGAATCGTCACGTGAATGACCTGTTTGAAGACTTGCGGGATGGACTCAACCTCATCTCACTGCTGGAGGTGCTTTCTGGCGAACACCTCGTGAGTACAAATCGATATTTGTTGCCTCAATAATCTACACTAAGAATTCTATTCATGCATATATATGCATGAAAGACGGTCATTTAACACTAGGCCACCAAGAATTTTGTTATAAGTTTGAAATTATTGAGTAAAAACAAGTATTGAGCAAGCGTGGCAATTAATACTCAAACCTTCTCCATGTGAGAAAAGGTCTTTGCTCAGCAGTGGGCTCTAATAGGCTGATGACGATGATATATACATATACATATACATATATGAGAATTAGTTTTAGTTATAATACATATTACATTGAATTTAATATTAATTATGAAGATGTTTCATAGCGTTTGCTATATTTTTTCTTTAATCGTCTTGTTTATATCTTTAGAGATATCTTTATAAAAACTATATTATTAAAAAGAAACCTTTCTCTGCAACGTATAAGTAGTAACTTGAATTATTCCCGTTGATCTTATCTTAATCTTTATAAATTACTGCATGTGTTTATAATGTATGGTAGCTATTTACGTAGATTTGACTATTTATAAGTTTGTTTTTGGATAAACTGAGTTGTAATACTCTTGAAACTCCTGTAATATTAATAATACTGATAATTAACTTTTAATATTTATTTTATTTATCTATAGCAGAAAATAGAGTTATCTTATCTTTAATGTAAATTGTAAAGGTATTGCATAAAATATATAAAATAATTAATTGTCATTTTATACTTTATAACATTTATAATAATCAGTTTTTATGCGTCGACTGTAAATACTTTGAATCATAATGTTTTTTGATTACGCAAGTCTAGCCTAGATAACTAACTTCCTAGTTCTGAAGCTGTTTTGTTTTTAAAAGACATTTATTGATTTCTTTCAATTACTTTAGAATATTAAAACAATCACAAAGTAATAAAATATAGTACATTTATTATGAAAAGAAATTAAAATAATATTTATATACATGTACGTATTGTGTGACCTATTAATTAGAGACAGCTGATTCTAAGTAATAGTTTTATAAGCAGGTGTTTTACAACGCCCTTCCTACATGAGGGTTAATAAACATCGCGGGCAGTATGAAGTAAGATTAATGATGTATTTAGTTTCGATCTTTATCTAAATGGAGGTAATAGCTCACCATTTTCTGTTAATAAACTTTGGCTGTACAGTAAGTTTAATAAATTTTCAAGGTTAATAAAGAGAAGTGGATAAGTTTTGAATCGTTTTTGTAGGAAAGAAATACTGAAGGTTTTTGATATAAAGATAAATTTGGAACTTTGTAACATAATACTTGTCTAAGTTAGGTAATTTTTATTAACTGCTTAAAGAGAAAATTCTGATTACATTGTTTTAGAACTCTGACGTAAAACTATATAGGTATTGATTTAAAGTTTATTGATAATAATATCTATAAATATATCAATATAATTTCTCATCATATTTTGTACACAAATTTTGTATGTACATTGATAGATACGTGTGGGAAATTGCTGCTTCTACTTAGGAAACCTACTGGTCGGATTTTAAAGAATTTTTCATTAATTTTGCTTCTATAACACAATAAAATGTAGACTACAGTCTACAATATCTCATCTATATACCAAATCTCATGTTGTTTCCGTGGGAACTAGCTAATGTTAACAGTTGCATTTAGTATGTAGTTACACAACACAGACAATAGATGGCGTTGCCGGTTAGTTATATGCAATTAAACAATAATTATTCTCATATATAAATCCTATAATATAATCCAGCATAATAAAATCTCTAATAAAAGCTAGCAGTGAACATAATTTGTAATATTTACAGCCGCGTGAGAGAGGACGTATGCGTTTCCACATGCTGCAGAATGTCCAGATGGCGCTGGACTTTCTGCGGTACAAGAAGATCAAGTTGGTTAACATACGGGCTGAGGACATCGTGGATGGAAACCCCAAGCTGACCCTGGGCTTGATATGGACCATCATCCTGCACTTCCAGGTCAGTGGAGATTTAATAAACACTTAGGAAAGGGCCGGTCTTTGCTTTGATTATTTTGGATGACATGGGGGGTAGGGGAGTCTAGATGATGATTACGTCATCGGTAGTTATTTACTCTGTAATCGTCACATCGAGTAGATCCATAAAAAATGTAATTATAATTTTTTTATGTAAATATTTGTAATAAATCTGCTTACGTAATACTTGAACGGCCCTAAACTTACTATATAGGATAATATAGCACGCGGATTATGTATGGTATTGTAGGTATAGATTAATTTTTATATACATTTTATGTATTAGAAAAAGAAATTATTGAATTTTGCCTTCTCTTAATATATATCCATTCATAAATTACTACTGATGTTATATAGTTTGGCAGTAAAATGCTTTTAGATGCTTAAATATAAATATAAATAAATAAAAAACATTGCTTTATACATTATCTATTGAATATATGTATATACAGTCATTTGTCAATTCATATGGTTCAGTATAAACGGATTTTGATAAGGATTTAGTACTCAGTTGTTTGCATTTAATATTGACATTAAGTTTTTGTATAAAACTCTGTATCCTTCATACACGATGCATTAACTGATTTATGTGATCTCTAAATATGCTTGAAGGCTATGTTTGTTTATTTATTTAATTTGCATGATAATATTTATCTGGGTAATTTAAATTAATCCTTACGATGTTATAATAATACTGGAATAGTTTGTTACGTACGCAAAATCATTTTTTCTTTTGAATTAATATTAAATAGACCTTTATCAGACCTTGCAGTAATCTAGTAGATTTCCAAATAACACAAACATATATATATATTCTTTGAAAACGTTAAATATGGTTTGCATTTTGATCTTAATCTCGAAGCAAACTTTTAAGTGTTGTAAGCCAATTACAAATTCTTTCACTAAATCATTTTCCTCAAAGAAACCATAAATATACTTATAATAATCCACCTCTACAGCCCCTCCAAATAATTTCCGATTAAAAATACGCTTATGAAAAGCTCCAATATCAGCTTAGGTTAATTTTTGACTTGGACAATGTAGATAATAATACTATCTATTACCTTTTGTCCATCGAGTTATTATGGATTCTTTTTATATCTAGGTGATAAATCTCTTCAGTATTCCAGAGTTCCATTAAGATGCAATTGCAATGAACTTAAATTTCTCTAGACGTACGCTAGTCAGGCGCCATATACAAAAAACCTATAATAAAATTAATTCTATACACGTTTTCTGTCGGCATATCATTGTCATCTACGAATTGCCATTTCGGTTGCCGTGACATACATATATAATAATCAGAACTACAAATGAATTCACCATCAACGGAGTCAGGACACTTACTTGATAACCTTGTTATTGTGACCTTGTTATTGTGACCTTCTATACTGGTAAACTGAACGTTTATACCAAAATTTTGTTTGCAGAAACTGAAAATATAACTTCAAACTAAATAGACACAGACCTTGAGTTATTTTTTGCATTCTTCAAAATGTCACGCGCAAATCGCATTTCAAATGTCACGTCAAAGATCTAAGGACTAAGCCTTTCCATCTCGTTTTAACGTATTACGTAAAATAGTTTTATCTCACTCTCTCTTCATTGTTCCGGTTTTGTCGTCGCACGGATAGAATTGACAAATAACGACCATAAAAGAAATTGTCACACTGAAATTGATGATTTTGTTGCGAACTAATTACGCACGGAGAGTTTTATACCTAATAGATTTTCTAGGAACTTTTATAAAGCGTTCTCCAATTGGATTAAAGTTCGGTAAAGCGTGCAATTGATTACGCAGATTTATAGACTTTACGTAAAATAACTTTTCGATTTAAATATTACAGTCCTTATAGCATAACCTCGCCTCGATGACAAGTGATGATAAAGCTGTTATTATAATGCAATCATACAATAAAAGTACGTAAGTCTATAAGAAAATAAGTGCGAGTAATATTACGTGACTCAAATATGACGGCATATTGAATTGTTGGCTTATTTATGACGGCGGATTCAAGACTGAAAATAAACCCAAATAATTTAGACAAGATATTGGGTCTTCCACATTTTTTTATATTTTTACGTACAAATGTCTTATATATCGTCGGATTTCATTACGAAAGATATCCGACTAGAGCAAGATTTAATATGAAATATATAATTATAATCGATTCAGTCGTACATATTGGTGGGCGAAGCTGCGTAAAACAACTAGTACATATACGATATAGTAACATTTCCTTAACAAGAACCAGTAACCTACAGTACAGATATGAAAAAAAATATGATCATTAATATGGTATTGAAACCGACCAGCGTGGGCCGGCGCGGCACACTTACACACTACCATATATGGCATTATACCCAGTGTTATTTAAATTGTTGAAGGATAATTAAACTCTTATATTAACGCGTCAACATATATCGTAAATATTCATGAACACATATTCCTATATAGGTTTTAATTTTAATCTCTACTTAATATTATAAATGCGTAATTAACTCTGTCTGTCTGTCTGTTACGCTTTCACGCCTAAACCACTGAACTGATTTTAATGAAATTTGGTACAGAGATAGATTTGACCTTGAGAAAGAACAGGATAGTTTTTATCCTAGACTTTTTAAAAGTTCTCTTGGAAACGCGATATAACCGAACTCCACGCGAGCGAAGCTGCGGACGGAAAGCTAGTAAATAGATTTATTTGCAATCCCTATAAGTCTTGGGATATTTTTTATGTCATCTGATGTAGGTCCAACTCTCCGACCTTGACCATCTACCTAGATAGGTATAATAATTGTGATTCAAAGCGAATCTTTATGAATAATTCCTTAATGTAAAGTATCATTATTATAATACCTGTATTGTCCGGCATATGTATGTATGTTTGTTTGTTTCAAAGGCATGTTCGCTGCTAATTTAAAACATTATGAATAAACAAGTGCTGTTTAAGCTATTGTATGATGTGTTATTTGCATCAGTTGTATACAGTTTGACGTTATTATAAATAGGTTGATGCAATACTTATTATTATTGTATTGATAATTCTTATATTTTAATTCATAGTACTGTTTCTTTATAATATAATCTATTGGACTGAAAATTTGCATTATTTCTACACTCTGTATATTCTTTTTCCTTTACATATATCTTATATAGGTGATTTAATTATTCATTCATCAATTGTGTATAGTAGTTTTTATCTAAAAACTGTTCTTAAAGTAAATAGTTCGAAGCTATAAAGCTTTCAAAATTTCCCTTTCTTTTTCTTAAAAGACGTTATATTGATGTCTGTAGTTCTTTTATTTATTATTTTATTGTTGACATCTGCCTGTTGTTATACGGTCATCCCGCCATTCGTTCAAGATGTTCTAAGTTCTAACGCTGCACGTACAGTTACGCGGGTCAGCGCTGGGGTCAATGACCCTGCGCGTGCGCAACTAAAACAATACGCGACACACCAATATTTGATAATAATTATTATCATTCCAAACAGAATCTTCTATCATGTATATAATACTTTTCTGAGTCACTATTTGTTGTATAAATATTTGGCCGCTTTAATGATAAGTGGCGGATATTTTTAACTATCCTTTAAGAAAGGAGGGTATGTATTTAGGCACTTGTTATATTATTTGATTATAGTTCTTCTTAAGTTTCTTAAATCTGACAAAGGGTTCTACAATAGGATAATATACCCACTGTAAATGTGGAAAGGTGGAAAAAATCGTGAATAGAAAGTTAAAATAAATAGAAGTCAATTTGCTGTATATTTAGGCCAATCCAACATCCTTTTGGAGTTAGTTTACCGAATGTAGTTATTGCGCTGATCTCTAAGTACCAGGTTTAGCTGTAATTTTAAATCAGCTAAGGATATATAAGATTCCTACGCTCTATTAGCCAACGTTACTCCGCAATATATTTCCCAACGTTTCTTAATCCGTCTTTCACAGTAATACGTTTACACCTTAATACCTGGTAGGGGTGTGTAGGTGCAAGGTCGCCCAACAGATGTCGCTCCCACGCCCGGGGCCGCCCCCGCATACTTTTGACAACTTTCTACATTAATAATTGATCCTTGATATTTTTTGTAAGCATTGGACGTACTTTTAAGTTCAGGAAAAACTTAATTCTCTTTATTTTGATATATATTTTGTGGTTACTATGAGTTTTGCCGTAATATAAAAAGGTCAAAACTAATTTGTCTCTTGACCATAGTTAGAAATAAATTTCCAGATACACATCGTTAACATATAAAACGTTTATAAATGCTGTTTATATTACTTAATTGCCAAGTGTAATTACACATTCTTAATGACTGTATTATGTCATATATTATTTTTGTATGTGATCTAATTAACATAATGATTACTGTCGTATAATATATAATCCTTTTTTTTCCACTTTAAAGTGACTTTTTGCTAAAGCTTGTTTTGCATATGAATGAATAAAATTAACTTTGTATAAGGGATGAAAGAAACAACAAAATGTGGCGCCATCTGTTATCGTATTTTATTATTAATTATTGCAACATATTACAATTTATTTTATTATTTACTGGATAGGCATTAATATATGTGTATTATGAAAAAAGTATTTACTTATTTTATTTGTCCACGCAAACTAGCAGGCGATCATGGTAAGTCGTATCGACGTATCGCAAAATTCGCCTAGCTTGCTTTAACTGCCCAATACTAGATGGCGCTGTTGTTAACAAGGCTCGCTAAGGATTGCTTAGCAAAGCTTTGCGCCTTTATATAATAGATGGCAGTGTTACTCACTAAAAATATAACCGTTACAAGCTTGTTATTTTAAGAATATACATAAATATTTAGCAAACATGTCTTTCTTACTGTTATGTCTAAGGCGGCCAACTTTCCGAAAACTGAATGCGGGACTTAACTTTACTTAAATGGGGGGGGGGGGGGGGTGTTAGGAATTGGAATGTCATAAAAATCTTCGCAACTGCTCATATTAAATTTAAGTACTCTCTTACGCGTCACGAGTTCAGAAGAAAGAAAGAAAACGAGATTATCGCGGGCGCGTTATGCTTGTCCCTGTTATAGGTAATCTGTGTTCCTACACTGTTGGCCGTGGTATGGGTGTTGTGTAGAAGTGTGGTAGAAAAATAGGAATGCACGACATGCGGGACGCATACAACGTTTTGCGGGACTATTTTACTAATAATTTCAAAGTGGGATTTCGTCTAGAATTGCGGGACGGTCCCGCAGAATGCGGGACGGTTGGCCGCCTTAGTTATGTCAAAAAAATAATAATTAAATGTTTCGATGTTCAAAATGATTTTCAAAGAACGTTTGCTATTCAGCTTTGATACGTTATCTTGCATTGACTATTTTTTTTATTATTGAGTTATTATACCAACTAAATATGTTTATTCCGAAAGATATCTTTTATAACAAAATGATTAAGTAAGTGAGTTGCTTAAAGTAACCAAAATATGTAAAAAAGTGTTTTTTTTTTTCGAGGCAAAACTAAGATACGATTTCTAAGATGAATAACAGTTTAAATTAAATTATCAATGCCAAAATTGAATTTAAGATGTGTTGTAAAGATAAAGACAGATACAGTCCTTCTTCATTGTATATTATCGCTTATATTTTTGTCTACAATATATTTGACTGTCAATGTTAAATCAAAGTGTACGTGCATTTGTATCAAGTCCTACCATTTAAAGAAACTAGTCTTTACAATGCAAGTTACTCGGCTATTATATTTCAATTTAATTATATCATCCCAATACAAAATAAATATGCCGCAATAATCTTTATTTATAACCTCATATAGGTTTTCTTGAGACCGCAAAGCTTATGTTTGATATTCATACAGTAGTTGTATAATTACTAACCAGCGTTACGCGTTACATTCAGTATATTATACATAATATAAATAAACAATTATAACAATTATAATAAATTATACAATGACTGCCATTCCAACGTAAACATACATAAATCTTTTTATTGATATTATAATTGAATTATAGCAATATGAATATAACTTACAAGTAAAATGCTTAAGCCAGAACAATGTGTTGTATGTATCGATGTTGTGTATGCGGAAAAAAAACATGACCTTTCATGACAAACATGGAGTTTAGTTCCCATAATGAATGGGATCCGCGGGCAGACGTGGTCCGTCACGGGCGGGTTGGTATAAAGCCAGTCACCTGCTAGATGCCGACACCGGCGCACGCGCACCGCTCACGAGAACCGAACCGAACCGATCAATAATACAACTAACATATTAACAATAACCGAAAAAGGATCTATAGTGGTGTGCATCTGTGTGTTACCGATTTAACGCCGTTACAACGGTTATGTGACAAATATATTTGTTTATGCCGGTGATATAAGTAGCGAACGACTAAGTAAACGCTAATTATTTAGCTAAAATATTACTCAACTTGTATAATGTTTTTTATGACGTTGGGTTTGCCAAATATAGATAGATATATTCGCATTTATTCTTTATAGCTGTGCTTGAGTTTCAATCGTTATGTTGTCATAATTTATCATGTAGAGAAATAGTCTTAAAAACGGCAAAATTTTCGGCTCATTAAAGAATTAAATAAAATCTTGTTTTTTGTATAATTAATTAAATCTTTATTAATATAAGGACGAGTTATCAAAACATAAAAATACGAAGGTTAATAAGAATATGTGCGCAGTTTCTGTAATTAATCATTAAATTGAAATAAATTACTTAAGATGTAGGCATCATTAAATGAGAAGTAATCACGGCTATAACTTATCATATATTAAAAACCTGTTTAAATTAGAATCATTCAGATTGATTAGCTTTTATATAGTGCAATTATTTTAATCAATTATTAATATGTTATTAAAATTTTCTTCATACGAAGTTATACACTTCTTTTTTCCTAATGGCCACAACAAAGGATGGGAATAGTTTGCCTGCGTCTTTGTTTATTTGGATTTTAAATTAAGCTTCTTCAAGTAAAGGGGGAATAAGCAGTTACTGAGATAGTGTGTTTCCCACCTAAGACTTTTTCCACTTTCCTTCATTTCAATTCAAATAATGTGTATATATTTTTGCACATATCGCTCTTGTCTTTATTTTGTTTAATCTAGTGTCAATCTAGATTTTTTGAGCCTAGACGTCATCTCAGATATGAGATATCATTTAAAATATCCACAAGACATTTGATAAATCTTTAATCATTTGTCATCTTGAAGCGCATTCTTCATTGATAACAATTAATCTAGAAAGATCTATTTCAATATTAAAATCGAAGCGACAATGAGTATCCATATATAGTTAACCAAGGTCCAAACATGTAGGTGTAACCATTGAATTCTTAAGACCCCCGCAAAAAAACTACAGTAACCAGTGCTACCACCCACTTACCGTAACTGAACTTGAATTATACGGTCTATTGATTTTAATATGTAATATAATTATTAAATTACACCTACATACAAGCAAGCTTTAAGCAAAAACATTCAATTTAGGACAGTTTTTTTTCTCAATATCCTGTGAGGAAGTCCTCTGGCACGCAAACTCGTCTATACTAAGATTGCATACATTCTGTTTTACATCGGCTTTTCAAAGTTGAATTCTCTGAACATCTTATGTTTTTTTCTCGTAATAATTTGCAATTACAACATAATCGCCATCCTTGATGTTATTTTTATTCTTTGTACCATTCCACCTTGTTGGCTTTGTTGAAGATATTTTTCGTATCACTTAGTTAAAGGACTTTTATATTTAAACTTAGTATTAATCTAAAGCTTTTGTTTATAAACTATGGAGATTATACAAGAAATGTTTGTTAACTTGCAACACTGCTACATTATTTTGTATAATCAATTCTCTTCATACATATAACGTCACCTTTGAATTTTAATTAGCTGTTTCGTTTTTCCATACCTGATCCAATGTTAACCATATGACGCAGATACTGTGCCATCAGTTATCTCGTATTTTTGGTAACTTTTTAGCATTCACGAGGTCAAGGTTAACAAGTACAAGTAGTTTGATGAAATCATTACCGTACAGTCGATAGTATTGAAAATATAACATGTTAGGTTTTACTTTTTTGTATTTACAATATAAATATTAAACTAAGTAAATGTTATGGATATTTAAAAAGGATGAGTCTTGACAAATCGCTTCCTTTAGTCTTATGACGCCGCCATCTTCCGCCGGAAGGGCTTCGCCATATTCGACTTGTCAAATATGGCTTAGAAACTTGGCTAATCCAATCAACACGTACTAAATTCACGTTCACTTTTCTTCAAATTTATTTATTTATTCAACGGTGTAGTTGTGTTTTCTTATACAAAGCGCTTACTACGTTTTATTATAGTCAGCATAATATCATTCAAGATATTATGTTCTATCGGTAGATAATGGTTGCATTGGAAAATGTTTATGTATAAGTAAACGCTGAAGTAATTTTATTCAAATTAAAAACTCACTTGCAACATGCATATCTAAATAAAGTAAATATCAACGCTCTCAGAACCTTGTCTTTGAAGTAATCTATTTGCGAGTATTGTCACATAACGGTGTACAAATGGCGCGCGTATCGAATCTGTAATAAGTTTGAAAATAATGTTGTAGAAGTGCTTCAGTGAGCAGTGTTATGTTATACCGACGGTGAAGGTTTGAGAGGAACGAATCAGATATGTCGATGTACAGATTCGTCAAAGAGGGCAGCAGTAAGAGGCTCTTCGTCCAAGGAACACTCGAAAGTGATGAAACAAAGCCACTGAAGTCGAGCCTGAAAAAGCCTGCTCCATCGCCGGTGGGATCTCCCATCACGACCAGCCTGAATCTAGCTTCTGTACCAAGAAGTCTGAGAGATAGTTTGACGAGAAACGAAACTGTGTACGATGGTAACTATCCTGGTATGGAAAGAACCAGCTACCGGTCTGGGTCGTACAGAGAAGAGAGTTACAACGGTCGTATAGTACATGACGGGAATCAGACACATTTCGAATATGATGGAGATAGCGCATTGGCCGTGCCGCTCTCGGCGGGTGGTAGAGGTCTGTCGGAACTGCAGGAGATTCATACGAACAAGCGTTTGTCGACCGAGGTCCTTGGCTCCTCGCTGGAGTCCACAAAGATCTCGAAGAAAGACGACAGCGGACAGCGACGTATTACAACGAGGATTGTGCGGAAGGTGACGACGCTGACCCGCGGTGAGGAGAAGGCGTCCGTAGAGGATGTCAGAGGAAGAGAGGTTCATAGATCAGCTGAACGATATAGACATGTTGAGATGGAATCATCGCTTCCTAGGAAGGTCAAGGTAATTAGTTCCTCACTGACTTATATATCAAGGAATGATAAATATAGCGTATATTTATTTGCGGTTTTATTTTACTTGCGGTTTCAAGTAATGACGAATATCCTAAACATCATTAGGAAACTTTTTGTATAACACTTATATTAAAATTACTTTGATATTGACTTAGAAGCTTAACTGAAACTGCGAAATAAAGCAAATTGCTTACTAAAGTTAAATATACATATTTAAGTGGAGGCCAAGTTTAGCAAAATCTTATCTGAATTTAATGAATTCGTATGAAGAGCCTACATGGTAATTCAAATATTCAAGATGTTGCGCTCAGTACCGTATGGGACTCAATTGCCTCCAAATAAGGATAGCTTACAATTATCTCTTCGAGTGGCTGAAAGCTAAATTTAGTATCCTCCTTAGGAATTCAGACATTTATTAATATTGATTTGAAATAAAATGAATTTTTGACTATATTGATATTCTTCCTATACTAAAGATATTTAAAAAAAAATTAATACGAATAAAGAAAATTATATGACTTAGTGTTATTTATTCAGTTAAAATTAGATTCACTACTGTAATTTCCATTTATATAAATCAACTCGGAACTAATTTAACCTCCAACGAAACTTGCAGTTGAAGAATCAAATCAATTTACAGAACAGTTAATAAAATTGTCATTTGTTTTGTCTACAAGTGGTTGTTATGATAATGTTTTATTTCCTGATATTATGTAATACATTTTTTACAATAAAAACTATACACCTTAGTGACATAAATCGTTCCTATTATATTGACGTATGATTTCTATACTTTCATTCAAATCGTGTCACTCTGTTGGAGCTCGGGTAGTTTTGGATGACGTCACCAATATGTTTTACATTCTGCTGACGATCTGTAGTAGTCAGTTGTCTAGGACCAAATAAGGCAACAAAAAGAAATATTAAGAGCATGACTTGCCATTGACTTGATCAGTATTGGTCTCCTATTGTCTTATATAGTATTTCACTTCAGATTGGTCTATGCATTATTTGCTTCAGAATCGTACATTTTTTTTGTCAATACTATTTTTAGTATCAGAATAACAATATATTATTATTATATAACAAAGAGTGCACTGTGAAATTCGATTTAACAATTGTTGACGTCATGTTTCGTGCTTCACTCGGTCGTGAACATTTTGTATTGACTCACAGTTTGGATTTGGATTATAATTTAGAAGTCACTTAGGTCCTGAGGCCAAAATTTAAATGCTGTAGATTAGCCTTTTAAAATAATTACCGTCTATTAGTGAAGAAAACATCACAAAAACCTAATTGATGAGTTTTAGGAATATAATTCAATATCTAGCAGAAACGATAAAATATATTGTTGCTATGACGATAGGGACTACATTCATCTCGTAAAGTTCAGATCTTAAAATAATCCGAATAAAGTCATGAAGACACAGTGACACTTTGGAAATATTACTGCAGCGTGTGTTGTGGTTTGGTCTATTTAAAGTTATTGATGGCTTGAAATAAATAACTATATTAATCTTATCATAAAATTCACTGATGAAATATCGACTGATTTTATCAAGAAAAGAGCATATTAGATTCTATGGCAGCATTTGTTTTTTCGTATGTTTAGTCCCTATATTTTTCGGTCACCGCTGGCAAAAAAAATCATTTATTTTTTTTTAATATTGATATTTTAAATGAATGTATATTAATTAAAACACACGTGTTGTTTAAAATACATTGTAATGCATAAAGTTTTTATTTTCTCTCTATCACATTCCCGATGCGATAAATTTTCTTGTAAATGTCCAATGTTCAATTGACCGTGGCCGCTGGTCCGAAGCGTTTAGTTTCACTCCAACACTCTTGTTTACAATTTTAATATTTATAACATTTCATTTTCTTTTGAAGTAATTTATTCCAAAAATGTCATTCCTCGGATCGTACAAGGGGTGATAATTATTCCATATTGTATATTTAATATCTAGAAATTGTCTATATAAAATCATTTCTTTAATATGTTTTTTATCAATAATTTTGTACGTTTACAGTAATTGTATTTTTTGTTCAGATGCAACGTGACTATAAACTATTTGCGCAGATGCATTCAAATCTTTATATGCTATAAGTTTTTGTGCAACGCAACGGACGTCAGTAAATGTTGTGAATATCTTAGAAATACTTGTTTTTGTTATATTTAACGCCTTGTGGCTTCGAAAACAATTTTATGCAATCTCTTTGTAACAGTCATTTCTATTGTTTTGTCAGGATAGAAAATCTTTTTGTTATTTTAAATTGTTTTATATAATTAATAATGATTCTTTGACCTTCTTACTCTTTTAAGATTTTTTTTAAGAAATTAAACGTGTTAGTGCGTACTTAATTACCTAATATGCAATACGCATCTAATAGTTTAAAATAATATTATTTGTTTTTATTTTCGTAACGGTAACATATGAGTTACAATTCGCTTGTACTCTGTAATGTTGATTGAGAAATATCATCTCACTCTTTAGCTAACACAGACTAATTAGAACACAGAAGCTGTATATCTAATAAAGAATGTTTTCTGTGTTGTAAGAACAAAGGCGAGCTCGGTGCCTTACCATCTTTATATATCAAGTAAACTGGTAAACTAGATTTAGCCTCTAACCGGTTTTCATGCAGTAGTCTGTCATAAATCACAGCGATGCGCATCGCCGACCGTGGCTGTCGAAATTTTGCACGTCCAGAACAAAGAACTTACTCAACGCATCTGAAACTATCTTGATTGTATTGTTGTCTGATTTAGTCGGAAAATTTTACTTTCAAAATAGTAACTCAACTTAGAGTAAGTGATCAGTTTAACTTACTATATTGGATTACTTTTTTATAATGTGGGGTCGTTGTAGAGTGGGGTAAGGTGGCGGACAGGAAATGGGAACAGGTGCGCCGGCGCACGGCGTGCAACCGTGCGTTCATAAAATACTTGATGTGCGCTATGAGTTTGATAACTGTAAGCGAACAGACAGACAAACACACATACATAACACTCCTGAATCTGTTCATATATATTTACTACAACCGATACTTACAAATAGTTATTGATAACTAAGACATCGAAAGTGTTCCATCTGAATAGTAAATAGCAATGTATTAGAAAGCAAAGGGCTGGCTGTCTTGAAAGTGATCTGAAACTATCATCCATCATATCAACTTACACTAGGATACATAATACATATTAATTTATATCACTTAAAGTAAATACATACAATATTTCTAATTACACGTATTGAATTGCTCACCAATAACTAATAATAACCCTTAGTAAATTTTGTCTTTTAACTAAGTACAGTCAGTTTAAACGTTTAATTTCGATTCGTTGAATATCCGTATATTACCTGTGATGGATTTAAGAACCAAATAAATTTAATTAAACTCATTGTGGAGGACTTGTGCAAGCTCAGTGACTGGTGCGACAACAACAGAATGTCTATGAACATCGAAAAATGTCTTTTTATCAGATTTTCGAGAAACAAGTCTGATTTAGTATACTATTATACTTTTAAAAACAAAAAGTTAAAGGAAGTTACCAGTGTTCGGGACTTAGGAGTAATCTTCGACTCAAAGCTCCGCTTTCACCTACATATTGATCACATAATTAATAAAAGCTTTAAAACACTAGGATTCATATTACGTAATGGTAGGGGCTTTAAAAGGGTGTCAAGTAAAATTAATCTTTATAATACTTTAGTGCGCAGTACGCTAGAATACTGTAGCAATGTCTGGAATCCACATTATGAAGTATATATAAAAAGAATAGAACGGGTTCAAAAGAGGTTTTTGTGGCACCTGTCTTATAGTTGTAACATAACTAAAACACATCCTCATTACATTGACCGATTAAAATACTTTAACCTTGATTCTCTACAAAATAGAAGAGAAATACTTGATCATACATTTCTGTTCAAAATTATAAATAAAGATATAGACAGCCCGCAATTACTTTCAAAACTATACTTAAATGCACCAGTTAAACTCCCAAGAACGCTCGTGTATACTCTATTCAACACAAAAAAATGCAAAAGTAATCTCGCACATTATTCACCTTTGAATAGAATGACTTTAAAGTTTAACTCTCTTTATAAAGATACTAAAATTGATATATTTTCTGGAAGGCCTCTAGAATTTAAAAAAACAATTCAAAAATTTTTAACTAATTAAGCTTAGATTTTACTTATTTGTTTGTTCTGTATCTAAACTAAAATATATTAAAACCAAAATGTTAACCTTGTGATGCACTCTGTTACTATTTAAGCATGAAGTGGTTGCCTGTAACCAAGGTAGCACACAACATCTTGATTGTAATAATTTATATGTTTATATTTGTGTAATATACCTTGTTGGCAATCCAAATAAATAAATAAATAAATAAATAAATATTAAAATCTTAACTAAACAAATCTTTTGATATCTATGAAACTTTAATATAAAATTGTTTATTATATTAAGAAAACATTGCATTTTAAAGCATCTATAGAGAGAGATTTTAATTGGATCATTCTAAAGTAGGTATTGATAGAATCTGAAAACAATAGGCGTTCATTATTTGACCTCAGATTCAATAGTTATGAAGTACCATAATATTGATTAATATACATATATACTAATATTTTGTATGACATCTCATAGAAATCTAGATGCAGAGCCAGTTTTTATACATGTCAAAATTCTTGCATATATAATATGTGTTACAGTTAACTTAAAATACTAGGTTAGATCTAGCATATAGAAATATTTGGAGAAATTTTTTCCAACTTCTTTTGTGTCACATCTTAGTATTAATCTCGTTAAATATTAGAGGGAAAAAATGTCAACTCTCTAAACAGTTTCATTGCCTTATAACGTTTGAAGAATGCGAGCGTTATATTAGAGCGACTAAGAAAGTAAATTTACATGGTACTGCATTACAGTGGTCTTGGACCCTAGTTGATATAAATGAATATCTCACTATAAAACTTATAGTTT